CCCCCGTACCTTGTGCCTCAGCTGATAGAAGAGCCCCAGGCGGTGCGCGGCGACCAGCAAGGCGGCCACCAGAGTGCCGCTGGCCAGGAACAGGAACGAGAGGACGAAGCTCCCATCAGGGGCAGCGGCTGCGGAGGACTCCATGATGTGGTACCTAAAAGAGAAAGGGTAGCGCCGGGCCCTGGGCTAGACAGGTACCAGGAAGATCGCACCGCCCCTTCTCTGATCCGTCTCTCAGGCCTCGCCCCCTTATCGCGAGGTTGTGTCCACGCCCCTTAAGCTTCTAGACTCTGGGAGAGGCAACGCCTCCGGGAGGCTAGGCCACGCCCCTTACGACGAAAAGCTCGAGCCCCTTACGTCACTACTACCAATCAAACATGGTCACCATTCTCTACGTCCCATAGACCAATACGGGGACAATGATCCTAAAGCCTCTTTTACGTCACAATGGTAAGCCCGCCCCCGCGGCTGTATCAGCAAGATGAGCGAAGCCACGCCCTCCTTATTAGCGTGCGCGACCTTCTAGTTAGGTCACGCCCCTCCTACCGATCGCGCGCCAAAGCTAATCCACAACCCCAGACCGAGGTTTGGATTAAATCGCCTCGAAATGCTTCTCTGAAGCCCGCCGGCCAGGCCTCGGGGCGCTTCAAACTTCACCTACAGGAAATGGCGCTGTCTCCAGTGAGACTAGGCACCCTTGGCGTCACGTTACCCGGACTCGCGGCCTGAGGGGGCGGGGCCGAAGCCTGCGGCCGTGCCCCTTTCTCCCTCTTGAATCAATGGCGCGCGGTAACGTGGAGCGACGCTTGCGCGTAGAACCGTAGCCTCCCTCGGGCTCCACGGGCACCATCCTTGTCTCTATTGGCCATCTTGCGCACAGGTCCCGCCTCCCCTCAACTTTCATTGGCTCTCACTGTAGGCCTCACCCCATCCACACTCCCTTATTTACAGGCGGTAACGTCTCTAGGGGCTTTGTAGTTGCCTGATTTCGCACTATGTCCCTCACATACCCACTCTCACAGCCTTCAGTTAGCCTCGATTTGCAGTCCTGTCAGTTCCGCGGTCCCCCTGGCCCAGGCGTGGACGGTCATAGACCCTCTCCTCAGAGCTCTACACTCAGGGACGGTGGTTCAAGCAAGCCCCGACCCTCCCTCTGGTGCTGGGCTCCACTCCCGCCCTATTGTAAGCCTGCGAAGGCAAAGGTCCCGCCTCCTCCCCTTGGCTCCGCCCCCACGGACCTGTCTCCTTTCCCCTCAAAGAAAAACTCACTACCGTGGAGCGGGATCTGACTCAAAGCAACCCCTCCTTGGGTTTCCGAAGCGGTATTTCTACTGAAGTAGATTACCTAGTCTTCCTTCAGAGGAGTGGCTGGAAGGTTTGAACCGCCAGCCTTCTGGTTAGCAGTCAAATGCCTTAGGCACTACCCTACCAAAGCTGCGCTCCCCTTTCCTAGACAATCGGATTTTGTCAGCTCCGAGCGCTGCAGAATAGTGGTGGGGAATGTTCCCACCCTCCAAAGCCACCGGCTACCTGGTTCGGGCCCACGTTCCACCATATTCCTGCCATCTGGCTTCTGAAAAATGGTCTCCCCATCAGGGAGAGCTGGTACAGGACCAGGTGGTGTTTCGTTCTGTTGGACAGAAGGTCGCTATGGGTCGGAGACTCCTCGCCGGCACGTAACAACATCAGCTAAGGGATGGAGGGAGGTGTCCAGCGCTCTGCTTTTATCCCAGGCCAATTCTGCCACTTACACCCCTTGGAATATTCCTCTGAACATTCTCCCCACAATAAATTTTCCCTTCTACTGAATCGTATCTAGGCTTTAATTTGTTGTAGGTGCCGTTGAGTTGACTCCGACTCATAGCGACCCTATGTACAACAGAACCAAACACCGCCCAGTCCTCTGCCAGCCTCACAATCCTTGCTATATCTGAGCACATTGTTGCAGCCACTGTGTCAATCCAACTCTTTGAGGGTCTTCCCCCTTTTAGCTGACCTTTCACTCTACCAAGCATGATATTCTTCTCCAGGGAATGGTCCCTTCTGACAACATGACCAGAGTAGGTGAGACCAAGTCTGCCCATTCTCGCTTCCAAGGAGCATTCCTGCCGCACTTCTCAAACTAACAGATTTCTTAGTTCTTCTGGCAGACCATGGTACTTTCAGTATTCTTCGCCAACACCACAACTCAAAAGCATCAACTCTTTTTTGGTCTTCCTTATTCATTGTACAGTTTTCACATGCATACGAGGCGATTGAAAATGCCATGGCTTAGGTTAGGCGCACCTTGGTCTTCAAGGAGACATCTTTGCTCTTCAGCTCTTTAAAGAGGTCTTTTGCAGCATATTTGTCCAATGCAATATGTCGTCTGATTTCTTTACTGCCGCTTCCACTGGTGTTGATTGCGGAACCAAATAATATGAAATCTTTGACAGCTTCAAACTCTTCTCCATTTATCATGATGCTGCTTATTGGTCCAGTTGTGAGGTTTTAATATCACCCATTAAGAGAAAAAAAAAAAAAAAACACCTCACCTCTCCTGGCTTCAAACTTTCCAATTACTGCTCCTCTCCTTCACTTTTTAACAAAATTCTTCCAGTGAGTTGTCTATGCTTGCTGACTCCATGAATGCTCCTCCTATTCCCTCTTAAGCCCATTCCAAACAGGTTTCTGCTCACCAGTCCTTGGTGCTGATCTAGGTTATTCCAGTCTCCAAACTGGTCCCTCTCCCTTCTGTCTTTCATCCACTGGCTCAACCCCACTTTCCCCAAGGCAGCTGCTGTGAGCTCTCCAAAGGCAGTGGGAGGGAGTCACATGGAGTCTAACCCATAATCAACAGGATAAAATGCAAACTTCCTAGAAGGACCTTCTAGACCCAATCAAACTTCCACACCCAATACAGAAACAGTAGTTGTTACTATTTGTTAAATGTATCTGTCAATTTGTCTACTCTTGTGGCTTATAAATTGCTATGATGCTTGAAACTTAGCCACTAGTATTTCAAATACCAGCAGGGTCACCCATGGTGGAATATTCCAACCCATGGATGTTTCAGACTAAGACAGACTAAGAAGAAAATCCTGACAATCTACTTCTAAAAATTAGCCAATGGAAACCGTGTGGATCACAACAGAATATTGTCTGATATAGCGCTGGAAGATGAGCCCAAATATACCAAACATTATGAAGATGGCTCAGACCAGGCAACTTTCGTCCTATTATGGATGTTGTTGGAAGGTGCTATCAAGTTGGTTCTGATTCATAAAGACCCTGTGTACATCAGAAGGAAACACTGTCTAGTCCTGAGCTGTCGTCACAATCATTGTTATGCTTGAGCCTGTTGTTGCAGCCATGTCAATCCATCTCATTGAGGGTCTTCCTCTCTTTGGCTGACCCACTACTTTACCAAACATGATGTCCTTCTCCAGGGACTGGTTCCCTCCTGATAACATGTCCAAAGTCTAACCATCCTCACTTCTAAGGAGTATTCTGGCTGTATGTCTTCCAAGGCAGGTGTGTTCATTCTTCTGGCAGTCCAAGATATACTCAATGTTCTTCACCAACACCATAATTCAAGTGCATCAGTTCTTCCTCGGTCTTCTTTATTCATTAACCAGCTTTTGCATGCATATGAAGCTACTGAAAATTTCATGGCTTGGGTCAGGCACCCCTTAGTCCTCAAAGTGACATCTTTGCTTTTTAATACTTTGAAAGGGTCCTTTGCAACAGATTGGCCCAATGAAATACATCATTTGATTTCTCAACTACTGGTTCCACAGGTAGGAGTCCACATAAAAGGGAGTCCTTGACAATATTTTCTCCAGTCATCATGATGTTTCTCATTGGTTCATTCTGAGTCAATCACATTGTCTACTATACCAGAAGATGAGCCCCTCAGGTTGGAAGGCATTTAAAATATGACTGGGGAAGAGCTGCTTCCTCAGACTAGAGCCAAATGTAATGATGTGGTTGGAGCAAAGCTTTCAAGACCTCCATTTGCTGATGTAGCACATCCCAAGATGAGAAGAAACAGCTGCAAATATCCATTAATAATCAGAACATGGAATGTATGAAATATGAATCTAGAAAAATTGGAAGTTGTAAAAAATGAAATGGACTGCATAAAAATCGATATCCTAGGCATTAGTGAGCTGAAATGGATTGGATTTGTCCCTTTCAAATCAGATAACCCTATGATCTATTAAGCCAGAAATGACAAATTGAAGAGGAATGGTGTGGCATTCATCATCACAAAAAAATATTTCAAGATCTATCCTAAAGTAGAATGTTGTGAAAGATAGGATAATATCCATACGTCTACAAGGAAGACCAGTTAATACTACTGTTATTCAAATATAAACACCAATCACTGAAGCCAAAAACGAGGAAATTAAAGATTTTTACCAACTTCTATAGTCTGAAATTGACCAAACACACAATAAAGATGTATTATTTATTACTGGTGATTGGAATGGGAAAATTGGACATGAAGAATCACTGGTAGTGAGAACATTTGGCCTTGGTGATAGAAAAGACACTGGAGATCACATGATAGAATTTTGCAAGACTGCAAGACCAACAACTTATTCATTGCAAATACCTTTTCTCAACAACATAAGTGGTGGCTATATACGTGGACCTCACCAGAAGGGATACACAGGAGTCAGACAGACTACATATGTGGAAAGAGGTGATGGAGAAACGCAGTATCTCCAGCCAAAACAAGGCCAGGAGCTTACTGCAGAACAGACCATCAATTGTTCATATGCAAGTTCAAGTTAAAGCTGAAGACAATTAAAAGAAGTCCATGAGAACCAAAATATGACCTTGATTATATGCCACCTGAATCTAGAGACCACCTAAAAATTTGATGCATTGAACACCAATGACCGAAAACCAGAGGAATTATGGGATGGCATCAAGAACATCATACATGAAGAAAGCAAAAGGTCATTAAAAAGACAAGAAAGGAAGAAAACATCAGAATGGATGTCAGAAGAGACTCTGAAAATTATTCTTGAATGGAGTGTAGCTAAAGCAAATGGAAGAAATGACAACATAAAAGAGCTGAACAGAAGATTTCAAAGAGCAGCTCAAAAAGACAAAGTCAATTGTTATAATGAAATTTGCACTGACCTGGAGTTAGAA